AAAAAAAAAAAAAACGCGTCACCGTGACTAACTAGAAAATTGTGGACAAAATATAATTAGGGGGGATTTTGAATTTATTGGTTGTCCTCATAAGAAAAACAGGGGAAATCCCCATGTGTCAGAGACACGAAGGGACGGAAGCATTAGGTGGTGAGCTGGTGCGGTGGCTGGCCCAGGGGGCTGGCACGGGGAGGGGACATCCATCCTGGGAGCTGCAGGACTCAGGACATGGTGCCCATCCAGGAAAAGGAGGTTCAACCGTGAGTCTCTGCAAGGCGGGGGGTTGGAATCGAGACACTTGCCTACAGACAAGGCTCCTGAACACTGTACCATCTTTGAAAGAAGAGACTGAAAAGCTCTGCCCGAGGAAGTTTGTCCACATCTACCTGTCTACCTGGACGCTGAATGGGAAGAAGCGAAGTAACTCTAGGTCCCATGCCCGACTCAGGTTGGGGCTCCGCCTTTACACTGTCCCAGAGACTTGTAGAAAAGAAATTAATGTAAAACTTGGTTCCAGACACCAAAAATCACAAGCAAAAAAAGAAAAATTTGACTTCATTAACATTAAAAGCTTTGTGCTTCAAAGACTACCATGAAGAGAGTTAAAAAAAGAACACAGTCCCCCAATCGTAGAAGATATTTGCAGATCATACATTTGATAAGAGAGTTATGTCCGTGATGTACATATAAAAACTCTTACAACTCCAAATGAAAAGATGCCCCAATTAATAACTGTACAAAGGATCTGAATATCCATTGTTCCAAAGAAGACATACAAATGGTCAGTTAAGCATGCGAAAGGATGTTCAGTGTTATTCACTGCCAGGGAAATGAAGATGAAAACCACAGTGAGTGGCTAGTTCACACCCCTGAGGTGGCTAAAATAAAATCTAAAACCAAGATGGACAATAACAAGTGCTGTTATTAAAATAAGCATGGTTCAGAGACGGTACACTTGGTATGTCATTGGAAGGCCCTGAGGAACATCCTCACTGACCAGCTTCTTATCCCGGGGGAGACAGTGATCCACTCCTCCTGAAACGTTACGTGTTATAACCCAATAAGCGATTTCACTGGCCTCAAAAACAGAACAAAATTTTTTTTAAGACAAAAAGTGAAAAAAGAAAAAGAAAGAAAGAAACATGGTCCTGGGCCAGACTTTCTGGGCAACCAAAGAAGGAAACGTCTATGGAGAGATACTGTCACAGCCAAATTGTCCCAGATAAAAAACAACTTTTAAAAGATGAAAAAGATGAATTCACAATTTTTGCCAAACACCCAAGGGAATACTCTGTCCTGTGTAATAATGAGATCCTTTTAAGTAAGGGAGGGAGGGAGGGAGGAA